CGGGGTTCCAAATAATACAAAATGGCCGAGGCAATTAAATATTTTATTTATGGGACACTTTTTTCCAGGGGTGTACTTAACTCCGCGACTGGGGTACCAATCAATCCGAAATCAGTGCTACTCCGTGATGTCGAAACACAGCGAGGACGATTGCGCTGAAACCCTGAATGCTCGTACGCACCGTAGTGGTACATCGTGTACAGCTCGTCGAGATGAGTCGATTGCGCATCGCCGACCATCAACAGACTAAAAACGACTGCATCACGGACATTACGTGAGAGCCGAAGTACTAAGGTACCCCAGGGTACTGCCATAAGGTTAAAATATTAATTATATGTAACAATGCAATAAAGATAAGTTAGAATCTGGTCAACTGGCTTATACGTTCATGGTTAAATGCCAGTGTTCAACGTATTTACAATTAAGAGGGGAGTATTACCATGCATCAACATTATGGAAACAGCAACATTGTAACGTGACGCAAGACCAGAGTTAGGGAAATATTAAAATACAAGATGTCTCACGAAAAAAGCAGCATCAAAATAACAAACACTTGATAATAATCGGTGAAGGCTTGTAAAATATCAAACACTAACGTTTCTCAAAACTGATTTAACACTGGAGTGAAAAATGTCAAATGGACAAAATATCTTACGACATGTTCGTACCTATTCAAACTAAAATAACACAATTCAGTTTATTTTTGGTTATACAATACAAATTTGCCTATACATTCCACGACCCTATACAGCCCATCAAATTAAGCTGTCACGTGAGCAAATGTGCCAGTTGATCAGTTTTTTTTAAATAAAACTGGAATGTTGAAAAACAAGCAGAATTTTTACATGTTCTTACAAAAACATGTTACACAATACAGATTGTAATGGGTGGGAACATTCAAACAAGGACATTTTTCGGTAAAGTCATGTAGATAGAAAATTATTAATAGATCACGACGTTTACATCACAACACAAGCAACCGTCTTCAGGTGAGAGAGATAAAGCTACTGAAACAAGGCCTTATGTAATCTTGAGATGGGTGCAGCCTCAGGGTAAGCCCCGCCCTCTTACCCGAGGCTGCACTCATATCAAGCCTACATAAGACCTTGTTTCAGTAGATTTCTCTCTCTCTCACCTGAAGACGGTCACTTGTGTTGCATGGAAACGTCGTGATCTATTAAAATGTTCTATCTACGTGACTTTACCGAAAGAACCGAAGAGTATGGATTCTTGCAGTCACGGAAGCTTCAAATCAAGAAAGGACATTTTTGTATTAGTCACAGACAAGTGACATATCCTCATCAGCCCTCAGAATCTTATCCACTGTGGAATGTATTGTCTTTTGCTTCAAGTAATATCAGATAGTGTTCAAGGAAAGTCAGTTACATAACATTAAAGGCAAGTCAGTTACGTAACATTATTTTCTTAAAATGCCACACTAGCAATCCAAATAAAATGATACTGTTTGTTCGTTGTATATAAAGTATACAGTAGTAATACAGTATTTTGTAAGGGTTGTGTGTTTTTTTACATGTAAAGCCCTTTTGTCAATCCACTGCTGGATGAGGGCCTCGCCACGTCATGTGGGTCGTCAGTTATTTGGCCATAATTCACCATTGGTCATCGTGTGGATTGCTGACGGAGAGGAGCATAGATATGGAAACATAGCAGTTTTTGCTGCACACATCGCAGCCCCACAGAAGCCTATAACAACCGGTTACATGATGCATGGTGGTTGCCAATGCAATTGCTATCCACCCTCAATCTATCCTTAGCTCGAGATCTGATGAAATCGGGTACATTTCAGGTGATTTGGCCATGGGCAAGGTTTCTTTAGACAAACGACAAAACAGCCAGCAAGTAATAAAAAAGGAATAAAAAAAACACAAATCTGAACAGAAGAGATTAAGTATTTTGTCGTATATACTGTATTTGCATGCACATATACACTCGTACAGACTGTACCATGTCACGCCCTTGTAAAACATAATATTTATGGAAAATATCTAGTTCCAACCAGTACATATAGTAGATAGAAAGAAACGACAGAATAATTAATCTCTTCTGGGCTGGAGAGAAGAAACACTATTCACAAGACTGTGCAGCACTTTTCAGTGGATGTCTTCTGAATAAATAATAGTCAAGTGAATAGTTTTTGCCCAAAGCAAAAAAAGCCTCATGTGTGGAATACATACTGTACTTACATTGTTTTGCTTACATGCCAAGTGCTAATTGTACATGAATAAAACAAACGAGTAAATATTATTATTGCATTAGTTCACCCAAGAAAGACTGAATACGCATAATAACAATGGAACAGTTGCCTATTTTTGTCACACAAGGGTCTATACTCAAGTGAAATATTGAATTATGTTTCCAGGGTCTTTAATACAAATGTCATAAGGGACACAGCAATGGGTTTTCAGAGAAGATATGACTGGGGGGGCAAATCAAATTGCACCGGTATGCATTGATTACCTATTATATAATTTTACTCAGCCCTTTGTCATTCCACTGCTGGATGAAGGTCTCCCCCATCCCCATATCATCAAGTTATTAAGCTATACTTCTCCATACTGCCCTGTGCGGATTGATAAAGGGGGAAGGAGGGCCCAGGACCAGTAAAGATATTGCTCGCCACTGAAGCTAGGCATGGCCAGGAGTTGGCTGTTGGGTTCATAGCACAGTGAGCTAAACACTAAACCACTGCTCCAATCAAATATGCGGTGGATATATAGCTATTTTTCAGAAGCGACCTGGCCACAAATGATAGCTCAATGAAGTGGCTTATCACGTGCAAATTTATAGCCGCTAAATACTCTTAAACGCATGTTCCTAAATGTGGAGGGGAAAACCGGAGGACCCGGGAGAAAAATCCACACGACTACGGAGAGAACATGCAAACTACAAATATACGGGCGTCAGGGTCGGGATTGAACCCACGATCTCCTGTATACCAGGCGAGGTAGTTAAGTTGTAAACAAATTTGGCAAAAACATGGCAATACGTGGATAGTGAATTAATCATCTTTATTTAGTGCCACAGTTATTTAGTACCTGGTAAATTTTAATATTTGCTAAATCATAGTAGATATGGCTGGGTTGCTGCAGTAATCAAATTGCTGACTCAATCATTGTAATTTGGCTGTGGCGAGCATTCCAACTACCAGACTTTCAAAATACAGTAAAACTCCAGCTCGCCATACTTCGCATTTAGCTGCACCAAGTCATCTAAGGAATATAATTCTTAATAAAATGAAATTTTTAAGCTAACAGAAGAATTTACATAATTTATACTTTAGAATACATTACCTAATATAAAACAGAAATGCACTAGAATGTATTATATTGTGAATAGTGTTAAACATGTGGAAATTGTAATAAATGCATTTAGGGAAATACATTACAGCACTGTAGTGGGGGTAGGGGGTGAGGTAACGGTGGTACCCTAAGACAGGCTGGTGAACGGGGGAACTCAAAAACGGTTCGCAGACATCACTCGCCCGCCGAGTTTAGCTGTGGCTGGGAATCAAACTCAGGTCACCAGGTTCATTACGTAGTGTGCCGACTTTTTCACTTCCCCACTAGACTATTTTTCCACTTTGCTATCACGCAGGAAGAGAGCAGAATGCAGGAAATGTGTCAGCTGAGGAAATGAATTATATGTAGTGTCAGCAACCTTGCTGGGCATATGTAAACATTTTCTGTTTTTTTTTGTTCAAGCATCTTTCACACGCCAACTACTTTACCCATTAATTCTCAACTCCCCCCCCCATCTAAAACGAAAGAAAAATATCTTATTTTGAAATGTGATTTATAGTTCACGTAAAATGTGGACATATTTGCTGTGTACATGGGTCATCAGCTTAAATACTCAATTAAACATTGTGGTATAATGGCAGTGGCGTTTATTTTTTTCATTTAGCTTTGCAAATATTCCCAGGGGACTGAAAGAAATATTTAAAGCCATTCTACAAGCTAAGCAACAGATCTTCAGGAACTTTAAATGACATGTGCTTAAGGTTTCCAGTGAACTATTAAACATTTGTGCGTAGGACTGTGAATATTAGATGTGCAATTATTTGTTTTTAAACAAAATGCTCTTGAAGTTAAATGCTGTGTCGACCCAAAATGTCAAGAATACATTTCTGTAATTCGATACAATAAAAGCTGAATTGTAATCATGGTTTACAGTAGGTTCACAAGGATATGTGACCTATGTTAAGACAGCACTTGTTTAACATGATATGAAACGTGTTCACATCACACAAATGAACCGACCTAACATTTAAGTTAAGTTCACCTGGCATATGCCAACTAATAACTAATCATCACGCGATTTCTATTTTAAAACCTTCAGAGCCCTTGGCTCCACTTATTCCCTTCACTGGCTGCCGATTCACATATTTACTTTTAAGTTCTAAAGGTTATGTATACATGTACAAACCCTTTGTCAACACTCCGATATGAAGGCCTCCAAAGTCATGAAGGCCTCCAAAGTCGTGCGGGTCACTGGAGTTAATTGATCAAATTTCAACACGGCTGGCGGGCGCTGGTTGGTTAATCTGGGGAGCAAAGTAGTACAGCACTGACTATTATAGCGCGAGCCTCTGCTACCCATGAGATGACCCCACAGCATTTTATAAAACGTGTTATGCATGGTGGTCGCCCATTCAAAACCCTACTTAGTGTCCGAGATTTGTCACGTTCAGGCCCATTCTGGGTGATGTGTATGGATGTTCAAATTATTTTACACCGTACAAAGCCAACCGTGCTAATCGGAGGTGCGATTTGATCAAAGGCTTTCTACAACCGAAGCTGTGTGAACACACATGTAAAATTTTACATCCCTGTGACATCACTTAGGTGATGTTCAAGTGGCAATTAAGTTAAGTTGTATGTGTAAAGCAATCAGATGTAAAACTACTCTTAGGGTGGCATCTGATGACTGCATTTGACATGCATGCTCTGGCTGACCTGGTGAACTGTGTTGCACATAACCTGGTTAAGGACGTAGACCCCGTACTCTATGCGTTGTCGCTGAAGCACAGGGTGCAGGTAGTAGAGCCAGTGCTTGAGGTGTTCATCCCGGTGCCGGAACGGGATGATGATGGCCACCTTCTGGCTGGACAGACAATCCTTGGGGCGGAACCGGCCACCCAGCTCCACATTCGGGTTCGACTTCTGCACCTCCTCCAGAGTTGGAGTCTTTGTGAAATCCACCTTTAACGGACCCACTGTCAAGACAGCGCCACAGACAGAGTACTTAAAATCAAATATTAAGCAACTAAGAGTTTACAACACATTTGCTGTTTGACTGTCGAGTTCAGGGGTGGGGAACTTTTTTTCCATACCGAGAGCGGTTAAGCTTTGAACGTACCTTATGGCAGGTTACATGTAAACACACACCTTAGGGTTATCCAATCATAATGCGAAAACTCATTTACATGATGACCGACCTAAGCAATTGGAAGCGCTAAAATAAAAATGAGTTTAATATCATAAATATGAAACATGAGTTGTCAAACTCGGAATTCAAAATGTCATTTTGAGAAAATCGCAATGCCAATTGTGGCATTGTGATGCTAGTAGCAATGAAATTTGAGAGCAAAGTAAATAGCCATATATCACTAAGCTAGACATCTGCTCCAGAGAATAAGCTTTTCAATGATATGCAATTTAACTAGGTTATTTCTTAAAATGCGGAGACAAATTGCGATTAAAGATGCTAAAAAACGCTAATTTAAGGTTTGTTTACTTGGCGAACTTTGTATAAAATCGTAAAAAGTAACTTATTCATAAAATATAAATTTATAAAATCTAAATAAGTTACTTTTTTCGATTTAAAGCTTTCGTGACTGCAGGGAATCATCTTCTTGGTTCTTTCGGTAAAGTCACGTAGAAGGGAAGTAATAAAATAATAAAAATAAAACATAATAAAATAATTCTCATGACGTTTCGGCCACAACGCAAGCAGCCATCCTCAGGTGAAGAATGAAACACCACCAAGCTTGGAGCGTATATTTAAGCTGGGTTGGAGGGGGGAAGAAGAGTGCCTTGACAAAATAATTTGCATATAGTGTATCTAGCAAGCCTGACTGTTGATGAGACATTATTAATGTCAAAGCTGGTCCAGAATTTGATTATACCGAATCAATGCTGTTGAAATTATGCATGTTCAGAATGGCAAAGCACCGATAAGGTTGTATAAGAAATCATGTATTATTTGTATGTGGACATGCTAATATTTTTTTTCATTTATAATGCTCCACAATGACGAAAATGATTGTGTCCAGGTCCTCTAGGAATTACCCAAGACGAAACGCTAACATTTATTAAGCAAATGCTTTTACACGTGACTTTCACACAGAGCACCAGATACACCAAAATATAGGTAATTAAATACATATATGTCAATGTTCTGTGATTGGACTTCAGCCCACACAGCTACGTAGCTAGGTGACAGCCTCCTCCTCCATTATGTGCATGGCAACCAGTCCGTATGACATGCCCGGCGATGTGCACCATAAGGCCTACTTCTCGCATTAGCACAGCGGGCTGTCCCGTATGCAATCGATGTTTGGAGGTGGCACACACCCCGTGGTCACACCAAAAGTGGTTCAAATGAAGCCATTGGTGCCTTAGGAAGTCGAAACCAGGTATCTAGATAGATGGATCACTGATGAGGTCCTTGTTTTATCACATCCATGAATCCCCATTCCTCGCCCCAGGCAGTGCGGGTATCCCGCATATCCAAGTCTTTGGGCTGTGGTAATACCCACACTGGGTGCGAGGACCTCAGGTCGCACGGGTGGAGGCTTGAAGATATCAACGTGAAGGGGCACCTCTAGTGCCGCATGTACCTTGTCCAGCATCTTGGCCACTGCAGTTTGGTGGTATATTTTGGTGGTATATTTTGGTGGGGGGATGTTGCAAAGCACTGCCAGCCACGGTAGTAGGGTTGTCCTGATTGCACCAGAGAGGATTCTCATGGTGACATTCAGCTGAATGTCCACCAATTTCGTGTGAGTTAATGCGAGTGTACAGTATTCTGCTACAGAGTAGTACACGTTGCGACCGGGCACCAGCCCCCCACATTAAGCCAGCAGGTCGGGCCAACAGACAGTTCCGTGAGCCTGCTGTCTTCTCCAGGTGTGGACCCTACGTCAGACTCCCGTCCAATGTCACTCCAAAGAACACTGGCTTTGGATTAGAATTTGAATATTTCTTTATACTGGAGGAATCCAAAGCATTATAAAGCACCTTTCAGATCTCCAATAGTTTTCACACGTTTTACAAACTGGCCATTTAGGTGCACTTTGAGTTTGTAGGGCGCTCTGACATTGTGCAGATGAAACACATTGCAAACTGTCTTGCTAGTGCTTGGCTAGAATCGCCATGTGCTGCAGTTATCTGCTACCATGGCTAGGTCAATGTTCATGGTGTTTTCCAGGCTGCTAAAGTCACAGGATTTGGTTGTGATGCTGTTATCATCAGTGCAGACAAATTGTCGTTGATGTAAATGTTGAAAAGTGTTGGAGCAAAAACAGAACCCCGAGACAGTCCATTCTTTTGCAGCTGACCTTGTTGTTCATGTACACTTGGAAGCAGCGATTTTTGAGAAGTGGTTCTCAGGATAAAGACAATGCCACACTCAATCGCTTAAGTGTCGTCTGTCCACTGCGTCTTGTGAAAGTTGCATGGTTTTAAGGTGCTCGTGATGATGGGCAAGTCCGATGTCGAGTAGTGATGGGCAGTGCCGATTTCGGGGGAAGTTGTTCATAACAGTGCATGACGCTGGCATTTGATTGCCACGAGCTGCACTGACCCAGCAGAGGTTCAGTGAATATTCCCGATTCTACCTGGCTAAGCGGAAAGGTGCCTCACTGTTTGGAGTGGTGCACCAGGTTAATATCACACTGTGATGCCCACGCCACAAGGTTCTCTGTATGGTAGCTATCAAAATGTCCGCCATACATTGCTGGATGGTGAATGTTGGGTCGGCTGTCTGGTACACCTCACGAGTAATTTTGTGGTTTGTATACACTGCAGACTGTAGAAACGCTGATGCGTACAGCATCGAAGACAACAGAGGGTGGCAGCGGTTCAACGCCAACCAGGTCATATTTCACATACATTGCACGACCATATTTTGAGTGAAGTGAATAAAAGATATATCCATGTCCAGGTATTTGGAAAAGCCCTTCCTGGTAATAAAAAATATTGATATCCTGTAGATTGTCGATATTGTGTGAACTGGGTAATTCATGACATACATCAACATTTAGCCGCAAGATAGTCCTTTCAGATTGGGCTGAAGAACACGGAGTGCTGGCTCCATCGCCCTGAAACATGAGGCTTTTGGCAAAGGTGTAAATGTTGTCATGTGTTGGCCAGGATCATGATGATTCGGCCAGCTAGCTGGAGTTTTGGTTTCTCCAGACATAGCTGGGTACAGGCAGTCCTCAACTTATGAACACCCGACTTACGAACACCCGCACTTACAAACCAGCTTCCATGAGATATCGATTTTCAAACTCGTACTTTTAACACTGAACTGCATAACTATTTCGTTCAACAGGCTATCCTTCGCAAAGTAATCACTCACAGCAGCCCGCTGGGAGTGGTTATGTGGGGTGTGGTAATGTAACGGTTCGCGTGTTGCGCTACAAATCCAGCAAACCGAGTACCATGTCCGCTCATGACCAACACCAGTGATGATTATCTGAATGGGTTCTGGGTCTCCCCTAGGTCGATTCGGCCTCAAATAAGTACCTGGTGCAGTGTGTAAACATCACCACTGGGAAGACACAGGCAGCCAGCCAGCCATAGTTCTGACCACCCACCGCATCGTGTGCTGTGCCGGCTTCATAGGTACTCGCTAACATCACTTGCCCCAACAGTCTATTAAGCCTATACAGGGGATATTTGTCTTGTGTGTGTGCGTGGCTCCGTGTGTGTGCACGCAATTGTGGGGACTCATTACGCCCTTCCGACAAACAAGCCAGCATTAGGACTCAAGGTAAGTGAAAATAAAACCTATTTTTTTCTATTCATATTACTTTAAAAAACAATTTTTTTTCTATTCATATTACTTTATTTTATGTTTTATTTACTAACCAGTATTTATTACAGTATTACATGCAAATGTACAATGTTTATTATTTATGAGTTTAACAATCCTTCCCTTTTTTGTTGAATCGTAAAACTAACTGTATTGGCATTTAAATACAGTACATTATCGTGTTTCGACTTACGAACGGGAATGAGAACGGAACCAGGTCGTAAGTCGAGGATTTGACCATACTTGCAGGAGACATAATGATGTGTGGCTGCATGTCCACATCCTTGCTCACCTAAATATAGCACATCTACAAATTATCTCCCAATACCAAGAGCAATGTGAACCACTCATCTGCACTTTTAAGAGTGTAGTAGTCTACAAACTGTGTCAGGAGGAAACCTTGAGTGTCATGCCATGGCCCATGATGTATTCCCTAATGGGCTGTGTTCTACTATCATGCAGGATATAGAAGTCTTCTTCCACTAATTGTCTTTTTATATTTTCGCACACAAAATGTGGAATACAATCTAATATTCCCTGAAGACTAAAATAATTAGCATAAAGTGTTATTAGGATTAAATGTAAAAATAACAAAATTCAGAAATGATGCTTTCCATGTACGATTTATGCCTCCCTATGCAATATTTTCTTCCAGTGCAATGTTTTTTTTTACCACACACGTAAAAATACAGTGCTACACACATTTGCTATCATAGTGTCTTCATTAAGTTTTATACGAACACGTAAGAGAAGCGTCTCAAGGCAGAGATCAAACAATGAGCACATTCGTGATGTGCTTTCATTCCAAGCGGGTCCCTCTTGTAAACCGAGTCGACACTCCATGAGTAAACAAACGGATATTATGAATTCTGTTAAAAGATCTGGGTAAAACAGAGGCATGGGAATAATTTTGTGGTGGGGTGGTAGGCCTAGGCACCATGGGAGCTCATGTCAAAGCAGACAAGGGGGGAGGTCGAATGTCAAGTAGTTTTGGGGCCTAAAAGGGCTAATTGCAGAATGTGCTAGATCTCAAGAGCTAACCAGAACTTGAGCAAAGAGAGTGCTTTGACGGGCGACCACCATGTACAACCAGGTTAAAACATAGATCTGCAGGGGGCTTACCCGTGTGGGCAACGGGCAGCAATGCAGCAAAATCAATTGATGTGATGTACTGTACTTTTGCGATCTCACATCTATGACACTTCCCTTTAGCAAATCCGTAATCACTAACGTGGTCTGGTCTTGTAAAATAACACCCATGACTCACAGGGTGTGAGGAAATCCTTATCCATGAGTAAATTCACAAATGGGGCAATGCATACATGAACAAAACGGCTAATGACGTGGCACATCACATGGCTTCCCCTCCCACTCCCCCTCTGTACCAAAGTTTGGCAAATGGAAATATAAGCAGAACCTCGTTCTGTATCTCCTCATAAAAATACCAAATATTTTAGTCGATAAAGCCAGACCAATATTATCCAGCAGCATATTTGAGCAAAACATTTCTGGACTGGTTTCGATCGTCTGGGTCTTACCAAGCCAAGACTCGTTACAAACGTTAGGGTGACAGGTACCAAACCCATGGGGCCGCACGGGACAGAGCATTAAAGAAAGCAGAGTACTCACAGAGGCCCTTGGGCGAGTCAGGACATGGGTCCAAAGGTGTCTTGCCAGCGCCCATGTGTCCAGCAGCTCCCTCTGAGAAAGAGGTCCCCACGCTGCCGTTCGAGGCCAGGGTCTCCCGGCCACCGCCACTCCTGGGCGCCCATGCGGCAGCCCCAGCGACCGGAACGTTGGCCACGCCGGCTCGCCGCAGGGCGTGCATGGTGTGAGTGTGTACGTCCAGGTAGAGCGCCAGCATGATGAAGAAGTGCAAGGCGCACAGCGCCACGACCAGCTTACTGGCCAACTCCAGGGCCCTTCCCAGCGACATGTTGGGACTCCACATCTTGATCGCATGTAACAATGTGTGTGTCGCCTATTCGTCTTACAGTCAATGTGTCGACAAAAAGGGTTTTATGGCTACTGTGTAATTTTCGTAACTGTTCACGGGTTGCCTACCAATGATTCCTGATGGTGTGTAACTTGTAACACTGTACGTATTGCAAGCTGCTTAACATTAAAGTCAAACTGCTGATGCCAAACGTTGGATTTGCAATACCTTTAACTAAAGACCAATGGAATTACTATCTATAGTTTCTGCCTACCTACCTTTAACAAGTTGTATTAAGATCTACGAAGCTCATTGGGAGTGGTTACTAACCTTCATACAACCATGAACCTACACTGCTGAATTATATACATACAATATGCGTTACATTACGAAACGGTACAGTTTAAATACAACCCCACTTAGTACAAATCTCGGATTAAGAGTCTTATTTGTCAATAGTATTCCGTTACCAACACAATGTTAGTAGATGTTGGTAACCCAGACACTATTCTTGCATAGACGCTTAACTTTAACCTACTAGTACTCGGAACTATATAAATCCCAGGACTAATCATTAATATACTTGAACAAGCAACACTTAGACAAGGCGAACGTCACTCTCTCGGGGCTACTCTTAACACGAGTCTCTCCACTGCCACGCAAACGATTACCAACACGGCTGCTGTTAGTAGTTACGATTCTTAAACTCCTGACAATCTATTGGCACAAATATATACATAGAGCTTCGTTCAAAACGACAGCTTCCAACACGCATTATAGATGCGACTGTACACAATCTATAACCTAGCACACATACAGTACAAAGCGCGGTTGCTGTACAAAATATCGATCCCGTTTAAAACCCACAGATATAATAAAAAACAGAGGCAACGCTATGTCCATACACTAGTTACAATGTAAATAAGCTTCGTTAATGTTATATAGTTGCTAGATTATGTATTTTAAGACCCAAAAAACCCGATTAACGCTAGAAATTCGAGAGTGCACAATGGCTCACTTTACTATGAATAATACACTGTATACCACGTACTGTACTGAGAATCACGTAAAACAATGTTACGTTTTCGACATTGTACTTACGTATAAAACCTTAAACATAGTGGTATGTAGCTACACAATGAAGACGGGTGTAGAAATAAACATCGTATATATATAAAGAATTCAAGAGCGCATTTTTTACGTTACGCAATATTCACACGTCAAGCTGCGCGATAACAATTTACACAAATCGACGCTGGCTACAAGTATCTTTAATTTTAATAAGAGGTTGTTGTTATAATAATAACGAACTGGCAAGCCTGTCCGGTAGGCCCCAGCCCAGCGCAAGACGATGCCCGTTAATTTATCCTAAAATAAAAAATTAAATAAATAAAGATTTTTGACCAATGACCGATAAGACTGCATACCGTTACTTGCAAGCCCCCCCACCCCCTAACAAAAAACGTTGGATTTAATAAAAAAAAATACACCTTTTTGAAATGTCTTATGAAGTAAAAAAGCTGGACGCGTTGGTGACGAGATAATAGAAGGATTATGAGAAATGAACACCACGAGGCAAATAAGAGCGCGTTTTTAACGTTGCACGGAGAGACCAAAACGTCGCAGTACGTGGGGAGCGTCTCATTATATAACCAGCGCGAACCAACACAAACACACGCCCAGACACCAAACAATGTTGTAACTGAAGCTAAATAAATAACAGCCGTCGATGTACGCCCACAATACTCCGTTGACACAATACACGTAAACCATTCATACACACCCCCCTACGACCTGGCCAGTTGGAAGCGTCCCAGTTAGCTTTGCACGCTTTACTGCTTGGACTCGACCACCACGTTAATTGACTACGGGGGTGGTTGGGGGGGGGAGGGGGTGATGGGAGGAAGTTGTAGCTTGGGCCGGCCCAGCGTGACGTGGGAAGGCGGATTGACATGGGGCCGATTCGAATTGGTTGGGCTTTCTTTTTGAGCGATAATTACAAGGGGACGTGGAGGGCATTTACATGTGCGTGCGTGTGTGTGTGGCTTAAGGGGCCGTCCATAAATGACGTCACGCGATTTTGGACGATGTTTGACCCCCCCCTCTAATATGACGTCACAAAGCTCTCCCCCCCCCCCCCCAAAAAAAAAACATATTTCCATTTTGAAAATAAAATATGCTTCAAATCGCTTTAAACTATTGTCATTGTAGTGCGTATTTAATGTGGCGCTGCACTCTGATGTTGTAGGAGAAAACATTTGTTAAAAAGTCTAATTAATAAAGTAGAACGTGTTGTCTATATTTATTTAAAGTTGCGCATTTTGATGTGATGTCACATTTCTCACCCCCCCCCCCTCGTCACACATCGTCACAAATGTCTGACCCCCCTCCACCCCCAAGGTGCGTGACATAATTTATGGACGGCCCCTAAAACGGGGAAAACCAGGTTTACGAACCATGGGGCACTATATCTCACCCACAGCTCAAACACGTCAATAATCGTCAATAGCACTTACCTTAAAATAGAACATTATATACAATAAGCGACGTTTCTGGCAATGATCCTTTCTTCATGCATGACAGGCCGGAGATATAGTGTATTCGAGCCGGAGACTGCACTATGCACCATGGGGTATGAATAGAATAAAATGTAAAACATGTTTCCCGATGATGTGTTTAAACTGGAGTATGAATGTTCTTGGTTCTTTCGGTAAAGTCACGTAGAAGGGAAACAATAAAATAATAAAAATATTAAACAATAAAATTCTCACGACGTTTCGACTGCAACACAAGCAATCATCATCAGGTGTGAAATCCACAGCAAGAACATTTGAGTATCAGACAAATCCTTTAAAAAGCAAAACTGTATTAGAAACTCATTTTTATATTACACGTAGAATTATAAAATGTTGCAAAAAAGGCGAAAACTGCTGTTGGCAGGTAAATGAAAACATGCGGTTTTCCACTTTACATTCCCAATTCTCTTTTCAATACGATTAGAGACGTGCTTAAGACACATAGTGATCAAAGGGACATGAAAATGTTATACATTTATGAACGCCCTTATGGAAGAAGATGGTTTTTGTTTGACGTGTATCTTATCCCTGGGTGAGTGGGTGTATCTGCAATTCACCGCCAACACTCCGACAAAACAAATGGCTAAATCACTTGGAGCTGAATTTCTAATAGCTTCTCTATATAGTATTGGACATATTAAATCATAATTCCTGTGGGTCAAATTTCAACAATAATCACATCAACATCCTTAATAAACGTCCAAATCACCCTCATCACAACAAACCTCAACCATTGACATTATCAACAGCATCAATGGTATAATTAACATCAAATACAAAGATCGCCCTATAGCCTTAACAGACTGTTAAGACAAGTGCTGTTAGCGAGCACTTATGAAGGCCGGCATGGCACACGAGGAGGTAGATGGCCAACACCACGCCCGGCCGCCTTTGTTTCCCCAGTCGCGATGTTTACACACCACTACTTACTCGATAATTAACTAAACCATCTTAATTAAAATATTAATCATCTCACCACCCACCGTCACCACCAGACATCAAATGTCCATCTTCAAAAGTCTACTCATACCCATCTTCAGCATCACCACCTTCATTATCTTTATGGATAGCCTCACTACTGCAATATTCTTTAATAATTACCTCACCGACCCATGAAAAGTTCAAGCTGACCACTGAGGTATGTATAAAATGTCCATAAAATGTATTTATTTATTTATTAAAGGAAGTGTCACCCCTGCAGCCCAAACAGACCAGATGGAATTACCTTCAAACTGCCTCTTTCTCCGGGCCTGCCTCTCGGTTTTTGTCCCGGTGCTTCCATATTCATGACCTTTTTCATCTATGTGGTTTACCTTTTTGCTTATGGTGTCCTAGGCATCGGAGTCAGACTTTGATCTTGTCTGAGATGGGTACCATTTTTGACATCATCTTCGTCTCTTCGTTCCTAAACTGATCCAGTCTGTGATCCAAGAGATCCACATCACCATCTAACTACTGTAACCACTATTAACAAGTGTGTGCGTGGTTTAGACATTGATTATCAAGTAATGAGCAATGGCACGGTTTGCATGTTGAGACCTTGGACTCTAAACCAGATATCAGCCACCTGTAAAAGAACTCTACTATCTGGTTTAGCAAGTTAATGATCTCATGACTGCGCAAAAAACCCTATCATAAAATGTATTTTTTCACTAGATCTGGCTAAAATCCAGCATTTTAAATATTGGCTTTAAACACTACATAATATATATGCTACACTTCATACCAATGTGCGGTAAAGTGCACTCCCTGATGTGTAAATATAAAAAGGCAAATGTAAGGCTATTTCTGCCAATATTGGGACTCACAGGGTCGCACTGTTCTGTAGACCAAACAATACATAAATAAAAACATAAAATGGTAGGACTTTTTTTTTTACATATTAAAATTGTCCCTTTTTTCATTTATACAAGTTGAAAATTTTTAATTTTACAAATGCTATAATTTTTTTTACAGCCTACTGCTGTTGGTGTGCATAAAGGTATGCACTTTTATAGTAGTATTCCTGATTGCACATGCAAAGCGCTTTGGTCAATCCATTGCTGGATGTGGATCTCCCCAAGTTGTGTGGGATATTTAACAATACTTCACCATGCTAGCCCCACCACGTACAACACCTGTTATGCATGGTGGATGCCCATCCAAGCACTTTTAGTTTAGCCTCTAGAATCTGGTTAATTTGGTCCTATGCTTTTTTGATTAATAGCCTCAGATTTAAAAATGGTTACACGTAGCTAAATTCCCCTTATTATTTCTTCATGAAATTTCTGCTCTCGAGCACATCTTTGACTTAATCTTCTTCTATCCCACCCGATCCCATGCCTCCATCCTGTTACCTTAACCATTGTGTCTTCATGTGATGCTACGGCAAAATTATATTTTACACCATACC